TCAGTTGTTGGAGCACAGTCACATATATTGGCGGCCCACCGTTGTCGTGTTCCTCGATATCAAAGGTGCATTCGATTCAGTGGATAGACATGCACTTTGGGACTGTCTACTCAGGAAAGGTGTACCCGAGAAATATGTAAATATTATCCAAGCATTATATGCGCGTAGTTCGGGCAGAGTGAGGGCTTACGGCAAGTTGCCGTCGCCCTTTAATATCTCCAGCGGCGTGAGACAAGGATGCCCGCTGTCACCTTTCCTCTTCAACTTCGCTATTGACGAAGTCATGGAAATCGCGTTCACAGGACACGATTTTGAAGGTGTGGATCTGCTTCCAGGAGAACGACTTCTTGATTTAGAGTATGCTGATGATATTGCCCTAATCTGTGACAGCTCCCAGACGTGCCAAGCGGCACTGGACAGATTAGCACTAGCTGTCCGTCACTTCGGGCTTTGCTTCGCACCCTCGAAGTGCAAAGCGTTCCTCCAAGATTGGTCTGGACCGCCTCCTACGCTGATCCTTGGTGGGGATCAGCTAGAAGTCGTTCAAAAATTCAACTACCTGGGAAGTTGTATCAGCGCCCTTGGGATTGAGGATGAGATCACGAATCGTATAGCAAAAGCTCGGGGCGCTTTTGCTAACCTTCGCCACTTATGGCGCCGGCGCGACATCACTCTTGCTCTGAAGGGTAGAGTATACAATGCAGCGGTACGTTCGACCCTACTGTACGGTTGTGAAACCTGGCCGCTTAAAGCAGCGGACCTGAAGAGGCTAGTTACGTTCCACCACCGGTGCCTTCGTTATTTGGCTCACATCTGGTAGGAACACCGTGTGAGCAACGAGCGTGTTCGACGCCTTGTTTACGGCACAGGAAAAGGAAATGAACCGTTCAGCACCGTTATTTCACGCACCAAGCTCCGATGGCTGGGCCACGTGCTACGCATGCCAGCCCACCGACTCCCGCGACGTGCGTTGTTTGCGCGCCGGGGGTGTGGATGAAAGAATAGGAGGGGTGGCCAAGCGATGACTTGGTCGAGAGGAATGAAGGCCCTCACTTCTGAGCTGGCATCGGTTGGAGCGTCACGGCCCCCTGGTTTGGGTCCGAAAGACGACGAACACGTTTGGTTGGACACACTTGCTGATATGGCTAGGAGCCTACCTCAGTGGCGTTCGTGCTGTGAGTTTCTTTGTCCCACCCCATCCCTCTTAGCCTTCCCCTCCAACCACGATCTCATTATTGAGCCTTATATAATTTTGTATAGTAATTTTTTAATGCACAGTAGCCGGCTGGTAGCTTACCGGAACGATGCCCATCCGTTACCGGTAGCTCAACCGGCTTGCACCAGTTGCATTCTTTTTTCTCTCTCCATTTTTCTGTGTATTGCGGCACAGTAGCTGAGGTGTTCCCCACCTCTAGCTAACGTGTATTATGATGATGATGATGACCCTGTCTATTTACTTGCTTTTGGTTTCTTTTTTCCATTTTTCTTTCCCAATATCTGACTACGTTACCCCTGTGAACCGTGTGAAAACTCCATTGGTTTTTCGTTACCCATCCTTGATGTTTCAAACCTCATGTTTGCTTTATTCAAATGGAGGCCGTCTTCCGATTTCTTAAGCTAACTTGGCAACCATCGCTGTTTTCCTACGTTACCACTCATCTTCTGTCTTAGATTGCCTCGGAGATGATTGCCAATCTTGCTCCGATGCCGACTGAATCGCCATATGACAAACGTAAATCAGCTATCCTTAAGCGCACTACGGTTTCCGATGAAGCACGGCTACACATGCTACTCTCAGGCATTGAGCTTGGAGACCGCAGCCCGCCTCAGCTCCTCCGGCATCTGCGGTCACTTGAGTGTTCCTCCATCCTGGACGATTCCATACTCCGACAACTCGGGACTAATTGCCTTCCATCATTCACCACAGCGATATTAGCAGTCGTTGCTGATAAACTCCCATTGGACAAACTAGCCGAAGCAGCCGACAAAGTCCTTGAACGATTCTTTAAATCTGCTGTGAATATTGTAATTGAACTGAGCACCACTAGTTCATTTGGACGTACCGCACTTGTTGCTATTAGTGAAAGGCTCTCTCGGTTAGAAATCGCTGTGTCTCACATCGGTCCTAAGCGACCTGCTTACCTTAGATTCATCTCAAGGAGTAAAAACCGTAGTCGCACCAGGCGTTCACGATCATATTGCTACTTCCGCCGCCGTTTCTGTGATGCTGCTCGCAATTGTCGTCCAGGTTGCAAATACTCGAAGACGTTTTTGGGTTCTTGGCAGGGAAACGACAACGCCATCCAGTGATGGCGACGGCTGCTGCTGGTCAAATCACTAGTCGCCTCTTGCACGTTTTCGATTCCACCACCAAACTTTACTTTTTGGTTGCTACTGGTGCAGAGATAAACGTTATACCTCTATCCTTGGAAAAGCGTGCTCTGCGACCAGCCGAAATTACGTTACAAGCGGCTAACCAAACCAAGATCACGACGTATGGCGAGGGACTACTCACGCTTAATCTTGGATTACGGCGTAATTTCCCATTCATTTTCCTGATTGCAGATGTACAGAAGCCCATCATTGGTATTGACTTTCTCATCAAATTCGGCCTGGTCGTAGACCTGCGTTGTGGCAAGCCGCAAGACGGTGCTACGTCGTTAACTGCTTCCGGGCAACACACTATGGTTAATTCCATCAGGCTTCAGGCACTTCTGCCTAAAGAGTCGCGCTATTCGTAATTACTGCAGCATTTTCCTTCCCTGGTTAGAGCAGATGACGGCACTCTGAAGCCCAAGCACGATATCTGTCACCATATCGTCACAGCCGGTCTTCCTGTGTCTGCTAAACCAAGACGCCTTCCACCGGATAAACTACAAGCGGCCAATAAGGTGTTCGAACACATACTTAACCTCGGAATTATTCGCCGTTCCAAAAGCTGTTGGGCATATCCGCTTCGTTTGGTGCCCAAGAATACCAGCGATTGGAGACCATGTGACGACTACTGGACGCTCAACAGTGCCACTGTTCTCCATAAGTACCGAATTCCCCAAATTCATGATTTTTCTAGCAACTTGCACGGTAAGTCTGTTTTCTCCACAATCTACCTAGTTCGCGCCTACCATCGCATTCCTGTTACTCTTGACGACATTCCAAAGACTGCCATTACTACCCCCTTCTGTTTTTATGAATTCGTTTGTATGCCCTTCCGATTACGAAACGCTGCTCAGGCTTTTCAGCGGTTCGTTGATACAATCCTTAAAGTGTTAGCTTTCGTTTTTGCCTACATCGACAACATTCTGGTCGCCAGTTCGAACGATGAGGAACACCTGTCACATCTCCGTCTGATCTTCGAGCGTTTTGCTCAGTATGACATGACGATTAACGTTGATAAGTGTATTTTCGGCCAATCTGGTGTCGATTTTCTCGGTCATTGAATCGACCACAATGGTATTAGCCCACTACCCGAAAAGATGCAGACAATCGCGGATTACCCGACGCTTCAATCCTTCAAAAGTTCGCGTCGTTTCCTCGGGATGGTCAACTATTATAATCGTGTCATTCCAGATTGTTTCCGGCTGCTTCAGTCTCTAACGAGTTTACTACAGGACAAACCCCGAAGGTTTGAGCCAACAGCAGAAGCAACTGTATCATTCGATAAGATCAACCAGGCCCTATCCAACGCCATTGCGCTTAGCCACATGAGAACTGATGTTGACGCCCCTCTCGTTCTCAGGACTGATGCGTCACAAACTGCCGTCGGAGCCGTTCTACAGCAGCTAATCAACAACCAGCCTGTACCTGTCCTTTTTCTCCAAAAGACTTCAGCCTGCTCAAACTCGATATAGTGCATTCGGTCGAGAACTTTTGGCTATTTATCTTGCCATTAAACATTTTCCGACATATATTTGAAGGACGTACCTTCACTGTTCTTACGGATCACAAGCCGGTAGCTTTTGCCTTCCACGGTTCCTCCGATCTATTTTCACCTCGTGAGACTCATCGTTTAGACTACGTATCGCAATTCACGGTCGGTTGGGGTCTTGCTTCCTGGCGTCTATTCACCTGCGTCGTCTGACTGCCATTGATTTCTACCGTCGCATCCTCAGGTCTGATGGGCACATCTGCTTTTGAAGTGGCTGTGTGGCAGAAGTGTTTCTCGTCTCTGGCTTCCGAATTTGCGACAACATTTATTCCAGGATTCAAGTTGAGCAACCTCTGGCATTTTGAAACAATTTCTTGCGATGTCAGCTTCAGTTTCGGCTCACATTCTATTTAAGTGTTTAATTTTTGTGATAGCAGTTCGATCAACTGCCTCTGTGACTTGCGTGATTTCCCTGAGTGCAAATGAAACTATATTTTGGTAATATTTAACACATACAGGGAAATCTCAAGGTCGCTACAACACAACCCACTCCTGTTATTCCCGCTTTCCATTCAAATTCCCTTGCACAGGTATGTCTTCACATACAGTTATTCACCGTTTGGTTCGTGGGTTTTCATATTTCTGACTTATCTCGTATACTCACTCTGATCAAGAGGCCTCTTTTATGTTCGATAGATTGAAGACGTTCCTTCCCAGTGAACGCATAGCCATCTGCCAGTCGACGACTTACCATCCACAAGTCAGTAGTCAAGTAGAGCTTGTTGACGCCACCCTTTTGGGAGGTTATCGCTTTATCTTTAAAATCCAAAGGTCTCCCCTGCATCCATTGGGGAACAGCACATCTTGATGCGTTCCATTCTGTTCGATCCGTGTTTTGCGTCGTCACCAGCGCCACTTCATAGGAACGGATATTTTTATTTAATCGCAGGTCAACCACTAATACCTCGTCGCCTAATTGGTTGTTGTCACCAAATTGGGTACTTATAGAAAAGAAACTCGAAGCACGATCATGTTGTGGATGAGGTAAAGTCATTAGAGGGCAATCCGTTGTATGCTCATGTTCGCTTGCCTTTTTGATGTGGGGAAACGATCTTGTTGCAGTATTTGGCTTTTCATGGTGGTAAAACCTATTCTCAATGACCTTCATGGCACAGCCAATTCTGAAAGCGAACCCATAGAGCCGAGCAGTGTAGGTCCGTTGGAGTCTTTCGGGTCACATGCATCTTCCGACTCATCTCTCCAACCCACTCACCCCCGGAACAAATTGACAACCATTGTCGCTTTCATGATAAGGCATAGCAACTCTCGCGTAGACAACGTGTACATTTTTACGAATTGTGTAACCGGGATGTGTAACGCACTGTATTGCTTGTACATCCTTGTTTTCACGTTAGAGAAAATGTTAGGACATTGCTGTATGTTTGTTCTGCACTTCTATCGTTTTCCATTTGGCTTTCATTTTCCTTGTAGCTCATATACTCTGATTCATAGATTCGTAAAGCCTTCTGGATCGGACCTTCATCTTCTTCATTGCTTGAATAGACGCGTTCGTTAGCTACTCAGTCGTATCAGTGACCAGTTTGAAGTCGTCCAGAAATTCAAGTATCTAAACAGCAGCTTCGCTGCATGTATAATCGACGATGAGCTAATGAACGGTATAGCAACAGCTCGTGGTGTTTTTGCCCATCTCCCCCACCTGTCGCGCTTGCGCGACATCACTCTCCTCTGAAGGGTGGAGTTTACAACGCAGCTGTACATTCAACCCTCATGTACGATTGTGAAACTAAGCCTATCAAATCGGCTGACCTAAAGAGACCTGTTATGTTCGATAATCTGCGTTCACAGTTTAGCTTGTGTCTAGCAGGAACACCGCGTGTGCAATGGTCGTGTTCAGCGTCGCATATTTGGTGCCGGAAGTGCGAGTGAACCGCTTAACATGGTAATATCACTCATTAGGCTCCGATGGCCGGGGCCAACTGTTGCGCATCTTATCACACTGACTCCTGCCTTGTGTCTTGTTTGCGCGACCGGGATGTGGATGGAAGAAGTGGAAATGTCAAGCGGACTTGGTTAGGAGAAATGAAGTCCCTCACTTCGAAGTTGGAGTCGGTTGGTCCCTCCTGGCTGCTGCGCTGGGGTCCGAAGGACTATGAACGCGTCCGCTTGGATACACTATTCTACATGGCGAAGTAACCGACCTCAATGGCGTTCATCTAGTGAGTTTCTTTGTCCCTCTCCCACTTAGCTTCCTCCTCCAAGCACGATCTTGTACTCTATGCGTACGGTGATAATTAGCATTATATTCACCGCTTTTTTGTATTTTATGTTTATTATCTCGACCTCCTAAACCTTCTTTCTCATATGGTACTTCTGTTGTTCCCTGAGTTCTCTGGTGCCGTCACAGGAGTTTTGCGCATGGCGCTCCATTGCCAGCTCTGCTCTACAGTGAAACCATTGGGAGTTGTATTTAAGCCATAGTTGACTTATACACGTGGACTATGACAGGTTTCATCAAACGTCAAAGAAATTTGACGAATCTGCGAAGCAATATAAAGCACCGCTATAGCCTTGACACGTTCGCTACAAATGTCAAACGTTTGGAATTGCGCCTCGGCAATGTCAAATTTATACGCAGCTTCTTTCCACTAGTAAATCGATATAGTATTCAGTGGACGTGTCACGTCTCATGATTTTAAAACAACTTGTCTTTGTCGAATCTCCGATGCTACTCAAACCTTTTCTGTTAACTGTTACTTTGCGGTGAAAAGCACGATCCCCAAACATGGTGCGTTTGTTTGCTTGCAGCGTCGATCCAGTGAGCTATGCTGAATGTGCTTTTGCATCTTCGGAGTCACTCATACCAGCTAGGTCGATGATTAGACGCCAGACAGACTCATTTTCTTGGTCCTCCAGATTTGGAGTTGGATTGAGGGCGGCTCCTTATTCCTTAAAACAGACGGATTGTAGCCCGCTGCCTTATGGTTAACTTTATAAGCCAAAGTCTGGTTGAGAACCGTAATTTTTCCCCGTCTAGACCTTGACTACCTGATAGTATTCTGTCCACGCAATGTAATAAACTCTTCCAACAATTTTTTGATACTCCAGCCGCTACATAGGGTACTCAGCGGTGCTCCATTTGCAACATTCAGCGGGGTGCATATGAGTGAAGATACTAGTGCTCAAGTCTTCCTGTTTTCCCATTCCTCTCTTGAGTTTTTTTCACTACTGTCGTCCCATCCAACTCTACTTTTATCTCGTCTTTTCAACCTCTTACTTATTGGCTCTCCACTACCTTGCTTTGATAAGCATGTGTCTTCTGATTCCGAATTACACTCAGTGGCAGAACATCGCACTTTTCTTATCTGCAAGCTCATGTCTAAACTAGCAAACCACCACAGTCCACCTCCAATTTTGAACCACAGTTCATCCTAATCTCGACCTACACACTTGGCCACATCGATTGATCCTGCTGTTTGTCGGAAAACGACTTGCATGGCTCTGTGCTCACCCTGTGATCCTCCTCATGTGTCACTGACGGCAATTTCTCACCGCGTTTATCCGAAGGTAACATGCCTTCAAATATCGGTCAGTTCGGTGTGGGTGTTGCTTTGGGTTTCCGGGCTGAAGCTGCTATGATCGACTGGGTTCCAGTCAGTAGCCAGATGTGCGCCGTCGGATTGGCTGGCTGGCTTAAAGCTTCGAAATCCCACGAGAGCAATCCGAAATCCGTCCGTATAGCTTCTAAGTGCTGTCGTTCACAGTCGCGATGCGGAAACTCCTAGCACATGCGGCTGACTGCTATCCTCTGCACAGTTCGTAACTGGTATGACAATGCAGGTCCACGGCCATTACCCATGGTTTATTGGCACATGCTGCTGGCACCCGGAAGTCATGAGGTCGGACCCCGGCAAGCATCTGAAGAAGACGCACAACTGACGAGATCCAGGGTAGAAACCGCGCTGTCTGGTATTTTTCCAGACGTGCAAAAGCCTGCTGACTGAGAGTGGAGTGTGATGAATTACCTCCGAATTACACAAAATCCCCACTGCTCAATAGCAATAAGTTTCTGCTTGTCATTGCTGTCAACGCTTGTACAAACTGTAGCACTGACTCGGTGAAAGGTGACTTCCATCGCCATTGTCATGAAAGAAGTACGGATGCTGTAGTACTGACTGCTGATCTGAACGCTCAAATTGGGAAATTATCCATTGGTGGGCAGCCAACACGGTGTCAGCTCCCGTACTAATAACAATGTACGGTTGCTACACTTATGTGACGACGGCCGTCTATTTTTCGCGAGTACTGACAGCACCAGTTGCAAGGTCGCTTGACGTCCGCCAGCTATGGATATAACTACTTACCACCTGAGAGAGTCTGTGTTCGAAATAGCTGTTCGATTTGGCACAAGACCGTGTACTCCGACTGCGCATTTATATGTGCCGATCTCCGGGTGAGCTTCGGTGGACGCCCGCGACGACGTTGGGGGCACATAGATGCTTGACAACGAGTGAGTCCAGATGTCCTCAATGCGTGCCAAAGTACGCTGACAAGCAAACACTTAATGGTCCCTTGGTACATGTTCACCAGACAGCAGGTGTCTTCATGTGTCAAACCGGTAACTAATACCACCAGACTCGCAAGGATTTCAGGGTGGAACTGTGTTCTAATCTTAAGGGAGAGATCTCCATGGTCTCATTGTGCATCGAATATAGACATAGCCGCTTCCCTTGGTAACCATTAGAGCCTTGCTATGGCGAATATTTTTCACGATTTATTAGTGAAGCTGTGAGAGCAGGAGGCTGTCCTAACAGACGAGCTCATGTTCGGTGGGCGTCAATCATAACGGGGTCAGTCTGATCTCAGTTGCATTCCAGTTACTTGCCTCTGTCGTTCTCCATAAACTGGCTAGCACTCGTCTAAGCCTGATTCGTGAAGAGCAGGCCGGGTTTCATCGAAGCAGTGATTGTATTGATCACATATACACATATCGCCAAATTTTTGGCGACTCACCTTAGTCGGGTTTCTGGACACCAACAATGCCTTCGACTCGGCGTGTGGGTGTGCCATTTTATTCTGATCAGAAAAGGCGTGCCCGGTAAATACGTAGACCGTGTCGTTGCGCTTTGTGCACGTATTTCGGGTAGTGTGAGGACTTACGGCGAGCTTTTGCCGTCGTTTAGTATCACCACTGGTGTGCGACAAGATTGCCAATCGTCACCTTTCCTTTTTAACTTTACCATCGACTATTAGGGCCAGCGTGCACGATCATATGTTGAACACCTAGGGAATTTAGAATTATTTTCCTTTTAACGGCGCAGATTGAAGGGGAACTTGACATAGGTGATATCATGCCTGCTGATCTGTGTGGACTAGCTATATCCGACCACCTGCGGGGACACGAACTTAAACTTGAGCATCAGCGCGAAGTTCTTTGCGAATCATGTAGTTCGTACTCGGAACAAGTTTCCTTCATCTTTGATTGGATGTACTGCTGTGGAAACCTTCGGAAAAGCCTTGATAAATGCTGGCCAGATCATTCTCCAGAATTAAGAATTTACTGTGAATTTCTGCTAAGGCTTTAATCCCAATAGTTCACAATTTACATAGCAGAGCCTAGTCCGGAAAAGCGCCAGACGCGTTTCACCCTATTGGGGCTCGTCAGTGGCGCGCATTCCCTCGGTTCTCTAAGGAGGATCGAACCCATGACCGCTAGAGGCAGATACCAACTATTTAGCAGCTCAAGCCACTGCGCCATGGGGGACGTTAGTTGGGCTACATAATTTGCAAACTAACTGGGATATAGCACCACCTATCTACCACTGTCACTGACAGTGGTTAGCCTGCGAGGTGATGACGTCCTCTCACTAGACGCTATATTTATGGCATTTGAAACTAGGAGAGGCTATTTTTGTTTTGTATTACTCACGAGTAGCAGGATTTTAGTTGTATTTCTGCTAAGGCTTTCATCCCAATAGTTCACAAGTTACATAGCAGAGCCTAGTCCGGAAAAGCGCCAGACGCGTTTCACCCTATTGGGTCTCTTCAGTGGCGCGCATTCCCTCGGTTCTCTAAGGAGGATCGAACCCATGACCGCTAGAGGCAGATGCCAACTAGCCAGCAACTTAAGTCACTGAGCCATGGGGGACGGTGGCTGGGCTACATAGTTTGCAAACTAACTGATATATAGCACTACCTATCTACCACTGTCACTGACAGTGGTTAGCCTGCGAGGTGATGACGTCCTGTGAATTATCGCTGAGACCTCGTACTTCATGATCCACGAATGTACAGATGTTCTTGTTTTTGCTTTACTTTACAGATGCAGCGAGAGTAAATCGGACATCCAGGCGACGGTGCTCTGGTTTGCTTACCGTATAAGAAGCAGTTCCTTCGGTAGGTGTGAGTCGATTTCATCCTTCAAAACTGACCTGACCTGGATTTTAGTGTTTTCACCGCCAAATCCTCGTGTTTCCTACCTGAGATTCCTTGCTGTTCGTGTTTCGATATTGTTCCTCTCAACACTGTTGGTAGCACAGAAGATTTGTCTTGAGGGCGAGAATCACGTAATAAAAGCATTCTGTTCTTTACCACTAAGAATTCTGACTGACTAGGTCAATCTCTGTTGTCAGGAATAAGTATTCCGAGGACCTTCCCAATCGTTGGATCGAAGCGGTGTTGGAGCCGTCGACCAATATTACATAGAGGACTCATTAATTCATCGTTGCACAAAACAGAAGGGCCGCAGCGTTAATGACGGAACCTGGTGAAAAGCGAGCTTAATACAGTCCGCTCAGGAGGGTGGACTTTCGCAGCGAGATTGCCTGATCTCTGATTTTCAGCGACATTAAAATAAGCCCCCGGCACGTAGCGTTCGATACTTTCCACTTGACCGCTAGTCTGCAGGTTAAAGGCACTCACGTGGCCATTTACCACTCTTACTCCACATGTATACTGTACTAGCACTGATGACGCGAACGAAGGTCCCTAGTCTGAGAGTATGTAACATTGACATGCTACCAGAAGCAAGCATATATGGGCATGTGGATGGGAAGCTGGAATGCCTACCACCGACGGTAACAGGTCCTTGAGGTACTTGCTAAACTTTTCTGCTGGATACGTAGTTTTTTATTGGTCGGCTCATAGACAGTTCACAAAAGTGAGGTTTCAGTACTGCGCATACAGTGGATACTAAGTTCATTCTCTTGACTTTTTTCAC